GCTTTCGGAACCAGTTTCCAAACAGCATTTAACGTTGCATGGAAAGCTTATATTCATCTTTGTATTAAAAACTCCTTTACACACATCGTTGTCACCATCCAATCTTGAAGTTGCATTAGAACTGTGATGTTCTATCATTCAACGTTTTTACTTGGAAAAGACTTTGGACTCTTTGACTGTGTGATGAAAATAGATTGTTTATTATTTCTCATATTATTAAGGTGTATGGTTGTGATTTTATGGAAGTCAAAATAAGTCACAGGCTTCTTTGGCGAATGAAGAAAGGAGAACAGAGCATAAGTCTCGGTGGATTACCCCCTCAGATTTAATATTGTAACCCATGATATAAAACTTTAATTCGGCAAACTACAACTCGGAGTCTCTTCGATTAAATTTTAGGAGTCGGAATGTCGTAGCCATAACAGTGACTATCTGTACTGGTGATAAATCACTTTTACCCTATAGGCTTTTGGTCTGGATTGAGTCCGACATGTGGTATATGTTATATCCTAGTGAAGATTACATTACGAGTAACGTCTGAGACCTATTTATAGACTAATATTATTTATATATTCTTATGTTATAAATATTCAGTAACTAGATTATGTATATCTATATTCCCCAGATTTTGGAAGGAAATAAGGTATAATAATTGCCGATGATTTTTGGAGCTAATATTATTATTATTTAAAAATGGCGATTTCTTTAGAAAAGTTGCAGTTATTATTACAGCAGTAGCAGATGTTAGTTTCCCAGCAGAAATTCCTAGAAACACTCTTGGAGAAACTATCTATCCAATAAGATATTCCAGAACATAAAAGTATAGTCATATCTAAATCCAGTTCCAGAATTTATATTTGATGCAGACAATGGTCACACTTTTGAAGCGTGGTTTGGCGGAATTGAAGATATTTACCGAGTGGAATTCGCTGCTGTAGATGACGCAAAGAAAGTACGTTTGCTCTTACAGAAACTTGATCCTAACAAACATCAAAGGTATAAAAACCATATCCTTGCTAAACACCCACAAGAAGTTAGTTTCGATGAAACTGTCAACATTTTAAATAAAATGTTTTGTGAACAGATGTCCTTACTTCTTATTCGGTATAACTGTCTACAGCTGACTAAAGAGGCTGATGAAGACTACACTATGTACGCCGGAAGAGTAAATTTACAAGCAGAACGATTTAAATTGAATGTATTAACTAATGACCAATTTGAATGCTTATTATTCATTTCTGCTTTGAACTCTCACAGCGATGCTGATTTTCACATAAGGTTATTATCCCGTATGGAATATGACGAGGAAATGACACTGCAAACTGTTACTAGTGAATGCCAACAATTGATAAACCTAAAACAAAATACAGCTATGCTGGAAACCAAAAGTGTTGCGCCATTTAATTCTGTTTATGCTGTTAAGACAGGTCAAAGACAAAATAGTACCAAAAGTCATAAATATCACTCGAAAATTCTTAAACCTTCAACTAAATGTCGGTATCGTGATGAGTGGCACTTCTCAAAATTTTGCCGGTTTAGGAATCATAGACGCACTATATGCAGTAAAGTTGGCCATAAAGAAACTGTCTGCCGAAATAGAGAAAGATTAAGATCAAAACAAACGAAGCATCCTCACCAGTACCAGAAAAAGTATATAAATAGTATGTATGCTACATTGGCTCTAAGCATAGCAGATAAAAGAAGGTATGCGGAATTAATTGTAGATGGTGTTCATATTCAATTGCAATTGGATAGAGCAACAGACATACCATTGACCTCTAAACGAACATGGAATTCAATTGGTTGTCTACAAGTATTATCAACTGAGCACACAGCACGAAATGGATCCGGAGATATATTAAGGCTCGTTGAAATGATAAAATGCTCTGTTGAATTCCGAGGTAATTACTTTACAGGGGATTGTTATTTAACGAACAGGCATGATTTAGACCTTATTGGTATACATTGGATAGATAAACTAAATCTATGGGATGTACCATTGAGTGAAATATGTACGATGAAGAGCGAAGATAGTACAGGAACGGCCATTTTGGAAGTATGTCCTGTAGAGGGTTCAAATCCCTTTATACCTGAAGCAAAACGTAATATTTGTAAATTTTCCGGCTCACAACAAGACAATATCTTGCTAACTGCACATGAAATTGTGAAGATACCAGATGATCATATAGATGAAGCCCCAAGTTCAGAATTAAATGAGGCAGTGCTGGCCCTGTCTAACTATGAATATAAACTTCAGTTAGAACGAAAATATAGCTCATGTGATATAAATCGAGAAAGCTGTGTGGACTCATATCCAGAAAATAACTGGAGCAATAAGATGAACCCAAATGTACCAAGTGATACTCAAAATCATTGGGAGAGAGAAATTTATATTGAACCACCACCCTATCCGATTTCTCATGACAATGTACTAGGTATGGATTCTTATAATAATGCACATAATTTTGGTGAAATTTCCTATGAAAATGGGAAAGATATGTCGGCTGAACCAAGCTATGATCAAAAATCCAATCCAATTTTGTTAAATGTTGATTTTCCTAGAAACCTGGTATCCACTAATGAGATTCGTAATGAATTTGAAGAAAGCGTTTCAGAAAAACCAAATCCTAACTACTTTGAGTGAAATGACCATCTAGCCGTTCCTCCTGGATTCTCCATCCAATGCGACAAACATAATAAAAATAAAGTCATCTTAATTTCATGTTGGAGATATGAGGATCCGACATTATTTCGAGGAGAAGGAGAAAGTTGTAGAAGTTAAAGTTACACATATATTCTTTAGAAATCAGAAACCGAACTTTGTATCCTTATCAAAGGTATTCTTAATATCGAAATATAGTATTGCCACTAGTTTCTTCTGGTCACGTATTCGAGCAACCTCGTTAAAGAAGTCTATCAGACATGTACTGCACGACATTGTTCTAATGAAGCCGTGTTGTGACGGGTTTATTAGATCTTCCTTAAGTAGGTGATCAGATAGTTGATTTTGTATCACTTTTTCCATTATACGTGATATAACTGGAGTGATATTTATGGGTCTGTAGTTTTCTACCAGGTTTCTCGGTCCGGATTTGTGTTCGGAAAGAACATACGTTACCTTCCAGGTTTCCGGATATGCACCTGTCTCTAAAGATAATGTGTATATTTTGAGTAATAGCGTCTGTATGTCCGTTCCTGGCATTTTATAAAGGATTGAAGAGATGTCATCGGCACCAGAACTCGCACTTGGCTTAAGGGTTTTAGTGGCGGTATGTATACTCCTAATGTCGAAGTTTATGGTACTAAGATAATTTTTGCTGATGCACTTTATGTTGATATCTGGAGTATGAGATGTATTCCCATTTTGGGAAAACCATTCACTTAATAGTTCACATATGACGGTTTGGTCATTATACGTCACACCATCGTGCAGTAAGGAGTGAATGTTGTGATCTGCGTTCTTTCTTATGCGTTTTGCAAACAGACGACATAAAGCTTGCGCTTTAGATGCAGCAGTGAGCGCAGTACGTTCCTCTGCCTGTTTATGTTTGTTGTGTTGACTTTGTACTCCGTCAAGTACAGAGTATATCTGGTGCAGGGCACTGAAGTCTTTTGATATATAGTACGTCCTTTTCAGTTTTCGCAGTTTAGACCTAGTCTTTTGGCTTATATAGGGAGTAATTGTTTTTAAAGCAATTTTAGAGGGTATAGTAGTGTCTAGTGCAGATTCGGTGGTGGTATTGAGTATTTCTAATGTTTCTGAAAGGTTATCACTGGTAAAGAAACTGCTCCAGTCAGAGTGCTTTATTAGAAATAGAAAGTTTTCCCAGTCAGTGTTTGCATAGTCTCTATATTGGAAACTCGTATTTGATGTCTTTAATTTGTTGCACATGGCAAGAATCGGAAGGATGCAGAGGACTATTTTATGGCCGCTGTTGTGAAACTTTTCGCCAACCACCATTGATGTTGGTGTGACATTATGACAGAATATCAAGTCAAGAATGTTGTGATTTCGTGTAGGCAGGTGTACATGTTGTTGCCAACCGTGTATGTCTAAGGACCTAGAGTATGCTTTCAAAGCACAATGGGCCAGAATGCGTCGTCCAGTTGATGGTGGGAAGGTTGAAATCACCACATACAATTTTGTAAGTGAAGTCAAGCGAGGCAGCCTGAGCAAATGGCTCACTTATAATAGCGTCAGTTGAACTAGGAGTGTTAGGAGCTCGATATATGCATCCGATTAGTATTTTACATTGATGAGTGTTCACAGTAAGCCATATCGAATCAGAAAGTTTGCTGAGGACATGGTCACTACAGATTTCCGCCCTCAAACTTTCTGATACATAAACAAGACAACCACCACCCTTCTTGGTGACTCGATCACAGCGGAAGAGCTCATAGGTGTCTATTTGTAGATATGTGTCTGTGGTGTCGGAGGACAGTCAACTTTTTGTCATCAAAATAAGTGAGGGGTTGTTTAAAAGTAATAGGGTGCGTAGGCGAGTCATCTTACCTTGTACAGATCGAGTGTTGATTAACATAAGTGTCAGGTACGGTGAGTGTTTGTTTAGTAGAAGGGTATGTTGTAAACCCAGTGGATTGTCTGCTTTGCCATGAGAAAAGAAAGAATTGGTAGTGTTGACTCCATATTAATTAGCGTTTAGTTTATTACCAATTGGTGTTGTTTTACTTGTATCTTCTGATTGTTATTTATGACTGCAACACCAAGTGAATTTAAACTTCACCCCATTACACAAGCAGGTGGCTATCAGGACTCAATAGCTAAGTGAATAATACGATGATGTTTGAAGCGAATAGTACTAGATTCAAGTCACTCCCGGAGTGAATATCAACTTTGGAATGTGCGGTTACATCCAGCTGATGAATGTTGAATAGGACAAAACGCTCTTTGTCCTACATTCCACTGCTAGCCACACTATCTATCTTTTTTGAAAATATTGTTATCAATTTTAATGTATACTTTTCTTTTTTTTTACAAGGAAGAAACAAGAGTATCATTGAATACTGTTGAATCTATAGAAAGTTTTGTATCAGATATTATAAATGGTCATTGGGATATTGTATTACAAACTGTACAATATTTAAAATTACCCGAACAAAAATTAATGGATTTATATGAACAGGTAATATTTATTGTATAGTATTTTAACTAAATAAAAGATTATCATTGAATTAATAGAACTTCGTGATATTGGTGCAGCTAGATCAATACTTCGACAAACTGAACCAATGATTACTATGAAACGTACACAATCTGATCGTTATACTCATTTAGATAATCTTTTAAATCGATCATATTTTGATCCAAGAGAGGTAATTCAATTTATTTTGAAAATAATATATATATATATTGTTTTTCTCAAGGCTTATTTAGATGGTCAATCAAAAGAGAAACGTCGTCAAACATTGGCTAGTTCATTATCAGAAGAAGTGAGTGTTGTAGCTCCATCACGTTTATTGGCATTACTTAGCCAAGCGCTTAAATGGCAACAACATCAAGGATTATTACCACCTGGTACAGCAATTGATGTATTTCGTGGTAAAGCTGCAGTACGTGAACAAGAAGAAGAAAAACCACCTACTAAATTGTCTACTGTTATACGAGTAAGTTTATGTTATGCAGTATATGGAATGTGAATAATTTAACTTTACTAATCTTGACAAATTAGTTTATTCAAGGTTAACTTGAAATGAAGAAGCCATAAGCATCTGTTTTCTTTTTCGTAATGAAACTAAAATATATAAGCCTATTCACTAGGTATTTGTGTATGAACCTTGCTCTGATTATAAAGGTTAGTGATACTATTTGGTTATCCAAACTCTAGTATATGAGATGGAGTTCAAACTTGGGACTTAGCGGCTGAAAATCGAACAACTTAACCACTGAGTCACTACTCTACATCGGTTTTATAACTGCTCATAAGTTTAAACTTGATCTGTGAATATAAGGTTTATTTGTAGCTCATGATCAAGTTGTTTGTGTTCTATTCTGTTTGATGGGCAGTGAAAGCTTCACAATTAAACTATCCAGTATGCAGAAAAGAATATCAACATATTTCATCTGGATATATCCAACTGAACCTGAGATGTAATGTGGTGTGGCAACTCGAACTGATGTATGTACGTACGAAGTTCTACGTCGTTACTGATTGACTGACTGACTGAGACGTAATGTGGTGTATGCTACTTATATCTGTCGGTATAAATAGTATGTAACCAACAGTCAGAAGTTGAATGCCTGTCAAAAGAAGGTTAGGAAGATTAAATTGAAGAAAACAAAAATGGAAACATAAAGGAATTGAGAAACAGAAGAATCATAAGGGATGTAAAGGATAGTTGATAGAAGATTTGCAAATGAAGTATTTAATGTATAGTTTTCGCATTAAACAATAAATTGGTCTTCATTTACTACAGTAATACTGATGATCAAGCTTGGATGAGTGATTTGACTCTAATATAAATTATGTTCTTTCTTGTACATTCCCCATTTAGTTTCAAGAAACAGATTCTTAGATCTCTCAGTCATTATCCAGGTATAAATTTGATAGTCCATACTTTTCAAATTCGTTTTTCCCTTCAATAAAAGATGATTTAAACTTTTGGAAGTAATCATAAACTTGTTAAATAACTCTCAATGAATCTTGTACAGATGCTTTTAAAGACCATGATTCTTTCTTTGTTCTTGCCTGCTCTTGTGTCTTGTGATAGGTTTTTGTTTTTCCATTATCTTTGGTAATTTGTTATTATTGCATTGTAGGTAGTTCAAAAGTGTCATGTTGAATGTGCCAGATTTAGTCCAGATGGTCAATTCTTAGTGACTGGCTCAGTTGATGGCTTTATTGAAGTATGGAATTTTACAACTGGGAAATTAAGAAAAGATCTAAAATATCAAGCTCAGGTAATTTGAATACTTTTTTAAAACCAATGTATGATATCAATAAATCAGAGAGAGGGGTTTTGTGAATATTATAGTAATTTTAATAGTTGAATCCATGGACACCGTTAGATACCGGCTAAGTGGTCTAGTAGTTAAGCGCTCGTGCGCGAAACTGATAGGTCCTGGGTTCGAATCTCGCGAGGCGGGATCGTGGATGCGCACTGTTGAGGAGTCCTATACTAGGATGAAACGGCCATCCAGTGCTTCCAGGTTTTCCATGGTGTGCTGGCTTCAATTGATTCATGGATTCAACTATTAAAATATCAATGAATGCCAGTTAAACTACATTATTCGATTAATTTAAATCAGTGATTAGGGAAAAATGTACAGTTATGGATTCCCTAGTAGCATATGGTAGTGTAGTTGTTGAGTTGTCAAAATAAAATGTACTACTTTAGTTAAGTAAATGAGCTATTACTTTTTAACATAGCTCAAGATGTCATTAAATGAACTCGATGATCCTCCTTGTGACTTCCTTTGTCTACCTCTAGCTTTCTTTCAATTTGTTTATATGACAAACAGTGATGTACGTTGATGTTAGGGAGCATGATAAGCATAAAATAACTATATAATATCAGAAGGGGTTTTGTGGATATTATATTAATTTTAACAGTTAAGATCATGAGTCAATTTGAAACTAGACCACCATGAAAATCCTGGAAGCACTGGACGGCCGTTTCGTCCTATTTTGTGACTCCTTAGCAGTGCGTATCCATGATCCCGCCTCGCAAGATTCGAACCCAGGTCCTAGCAGCGCTCCCAGGTTTTCCATGGTGGTCTAGCTTCAATTGACTCATGATCTCAACTGTTAAAAAAACTATATAAGTCTATATAGATGTACAGCCTACGTATAAACTTATACCTAAACTCAGCATGATAATTTTATCATACACTTATTATGATTATTGGCTTTATTCAGTATTATATTTTTGGTACAATATAGAATTCTCAGTACAAAGTATTTCAACAAGTTTCTTTTTCTTATTTCTTGATCGACCCCTTCAATAAATCTTGAATGGTCGCCAGTTAGCTGCTAGCAGTTCAGGAATCAACATCTAAATAATCTATATTCTTTTCGATGTATATTGACAGTCATCATGATGTCTTTGATTGGGCTCTTTGGTAACCTGTACAGTGAAAGGTTGTAAATTTCTCACAAATGTACCTGAATAGGTTATACAACTAATTGACATAATGATGTGTTAAAACAAGCATGAAAACTTGTTGACATATTTAGATGTCAGGAACAGGTAGCCCAGGTGTTCTTGCAGACCGCTTTGTGTAACGAGTATTGTTCTTAAGACACTGATGATCAAGTAGTTGCTACGCATGTAAATGTTTCACAGTAATTTATGTTGCATTTTAATATTCTTATTACATAGTACTAAAGATTGTTATATCTTAAATTCTATTTATTTATGTAAACACATAAACATTAGTACGAGGGGGCACCAAGTAGATATGTGCCATACAAGTCACTTGATTTGTGTTTGGGCTGTGATACTCCTCGGGTACCCAAATCGAAGCAGGTGATTTTCTTAGGGGGCCACACTCAAAGCCTTCGACCTAAAGGTTTGATTAATAGGGCAATGGAGCAAGCTTGGGAAATGTAGTTCCATGGTGTTCGGTGACGCCATTTGTTCCTTGACAATCCTGGAGCCCATGTGCATCATTGCTTTGAGATGAGGGTTTTCCAACTCCCTTAGGTGGACTATACGTGTCCACCAACCCGGTTAAGGCACTGGACCTAAACTATTAAATCATGATTTTAATTTTGTAATGGTCTTGATTATCCTATTGTTGATATTTTGATCTGTTCTGGTTGACATCGTGTACGAATTGTCTCGATGTAGTCATTTTCTTACAAGTTTAGATGGAATATGGCCAGTACTGAAATCTAATGTAATTATTTCTTTTATTTTGTTCTTTTTTTGCCTTTGTTAAACTTCAGGATACATTTATGATGATGGAAGATAGTGTTCTATGTTTAACATTTAGTCGTGATTCTGAAATGTTAGCATCTGGTGCTAAAGATGGAACAATCAAAATTTGGCGTATTCAAAATGGTCAATGTTTGAAACGTCTAGATAAAGCACATCATAAAGGTGTTACAGCTATACAATTCTCTAAAGATAATACACACTTATTATCGGCTAGTCTAGATCATAGCATTCGGTAATTTGAATTTTTTTTCAATATGGGGTTGTGGAGGTTATTAAGTTTTTGATTGAGATCATGAACCGATTGATGTTAGACCGCTACTGAAAACCTGGACGCACTGAACGGCTGTTTCGTCCTATTGCAGGACTCCTCAGCAGTGCGCATCCATGATCCAGCTCGCGGGGTTCGAACCTAGGGCCTTCGGTCTCGCGTGCGAACGCTTAACCTCTAGACCACGGAGATGTCATGCAACGGTTTTAATTTCTAATTCAACCAATCCACGAAATTGATTTTATTTACTTACTGATACATTTATTTATTTAGTAGTTAAAGCACTCAACTATCAAGCGATTGATTGGTCATGGGTTCGAGTCCCATGTGAACAATGTACAAACTAGTATTTCGTTAACCAATAACTAAGATACATCGCTCAGTTCATATAGTTTTGTACAGTTTTGACTGGTCTTTCCGGTCTCCCACATTGTTCGGACGTTCCATGTACCTATGAAAATTGTTGCTCTGGTTGTTAGAAGGTGCATCGGCCTCGTGACTTCCGAAGGAACTCGGCTTTCATCATGAGGTGTCATAACTATTCTAAATGAAGACCTTCTGACTCCCAGGTCAGAGTTTAAAAGGTTTGAATAATTTTTCTCTGGTTAGCGTCTTTTTAGCGAGTTAGTTTTCTACGGGATGGGGACGCCAACCCCATGCCAAACCCTCCTCCTTTATCCTGGTTTGGGACCGGCAGTAGCCCCCGGAGGGACTCCAGGCAGAGTTTCATGAATTATTACCATTACTTCATTTTTGTAATCGACTTTCGGCAAAAATGATCTATATAATATTTCTTGATAACTACTACTTAATCGGTCAAAATTGAATATTTTTTAAAAGGATTCGATTCTGTAGCCTGTTGTTTAAAATTCCAGTACTTCAGCCACTAAGTCTAGGCGCTCCACACTTTTGCTTTATACACATGGATTTGAATATATTCTAGCCGCATTCCACAAGAAAATAGACTAGTGAAAATATTTAACTGTGTGTTAGCGTCGTGGTATGACAGACTAAAAGTCATTTATAATGGCATTTAACTTAATAGTGAAATTAACAGATATTAGCCAATCTTATTTATTTGTTTAAGCACATAAATATTATTACAAAGAGGCAATAAATACATATGTGCCACACATGTCACTTGGTTTATGTGTGGGTTGTGATACTGCCCGGGTGATCAAACCGAATCAGGTGGTTTTCTTAGGAGGCCACTCCTGGAGCTTTCGACCTAAAGGTCTAATCCATAAGACAGTGGAGCAACGTAAGGAGATACAGTTCCGTGGTAGCCGGTGATCAACAAATGGTTCACACGCATTTGTTCCCTTAAGATCCTGGAGCCCATGTACATCATTGGTATGGAATCAGGGTTTTCCAACTCCCTTAGGTGGATCCTTTATATCCACCAACCCGTCCTCTCAATTTCGTAAACAACACCCTCGCCACGAGAAGACAATGAGTAGAACTTCCATGCCAGTGGTTGTATGAGTTTGTCCATGTGAGAGCATTTCAAGAGGGAAAGTTGACTTTCCCCATCCTCGGCTGTACCAGGCGATTAGCGAATCTAAACAAGACAGAAAAAGGGAGATTCCTTATCGTATAGTATTTTAAACATTCAATAAATTATGTAACTCAGTGATTTAATCAGATTGTTAGTGTTAACTTAAACATGATTCAATATCTAACTATACATTGAATTTCACGGTTATTTGCTTAATCATATTATTATTATTATTATTCAGAATACATGGAATGAAATCATGTAAAATTATTAAAGAGTTTACTGGTCATACAGGTGTTGTCAATTCTGTAGCATTTTTACCTGATGGACATAATATAATAAGTGGAAGTGCTGATGGTTCTGTACGAATATGGTCAATTCGTTCAGGAGAATGTACAAATACATTTAAGGTATATATTCTCTTTATAGATGCAAATCTATTTTCACAGATTGAACTCATGAGTCAGTTGAAGCTAGACCACCATTGAAAACCTGGAAGCACTGGACGGCCGTTTCGTCCTAGTATGGGACTCCTCAGCAGTGCGCATCCACGACCCCGCACCACCCGGGGCTCAAACCCAGGACCTACTGGTTTCGCGCGCGAGCACTTAACCATTAGACCACTGAGCCGGCATCCAACGGTGTTAATGTCTAACTTCAACCAATGGTGGTCTAGCTTCAACTGATTCATGAGTTCAATCTGTGAAAATTTCTAAAAATCTCCACAAAACACATTCTGATAATAGCAAATCTATTTATTATTTTGTTCTTTTTTTTGTTTTTATAAATTTCACCATTGATTTACTTCTCCGTTTTACCTTAAAACTATATATCACATAATTCATCTTTTATGTTTGGTTCTACTGGAGGATTTTGATCGTGGAACAACTGAGTGAACAACTTCCATGTTAGGTTTATAGTACTTACCAAAAGTAAAAAATCGATTGATGAGTTTACGAGTCTTCACTGACTGATGTGCTTAAAGTGTGTTCTGTTAACTGATCATCATTTACCTAGACAGTGGATGTTGACTGGTGTACGAGTAGATTGAAAAGAAGCTAGGAACAACCATACTAAGATATATAATCAGTTCATGAAGCAAGTCATTGACTATTAAACTTCATCATGTAGGCAGGTACATACTACCTGGTTAGAGTCCAAGCAATAACAGTGATCAGTGGGTAGGGACTTTAGATGACATGATTCAGAATCATCTTCAATGGCACAGACCCACTCACTGTTTATCTTCCTCTCGGCTGTGAATTCCAATATCCCTTCGTACAGACCTTTTCACTGTCTTTTCCAATCATATTTTCAATGGTTACTAATCTCACACCTGATTCTCGGTTATTTATTCGAATAAATAAATATTGGTACAAAGGAGCACCGATTACATATGCGTCACGCAATTCACTTGATTTATGTATGGGTCGTGATACTGCAGTGAACAAGAACACCACTGGGGACAATTGAATGTATTTGACACAAAATTACAGGACCTGTTAATAAAATCTAACAATCATAAAGTAAATGCTTAATTTGCAAAACATCCATCAATTGTCTCGAAATGACTCAGACTTCATTGTTCTTGCATTTTCATACAAATTGCATTCTGTTTCCGTTCTTTATTGTTCGATCCTCTTGTCTCTCTGCCATCCAGTGCTTCCAGGTTTTCCATGATAGTCTAGCTTCAATTGACTCATCATTTCAACCAGTGAAATTTCTAATGATTAGTTACAAAATAAACATGCAAAAATTCTATAGATGCTTACATATTTTTCATTATATTCGTTTGTTGTTGAGGGGGGGGGCAATATTGAATCTTTAACTTTGTTTTATCATTCTGGAAGTTAATGATTCATAGTGATTGTGAAAGAAGAAGGATAAGTTCATTTAAAGAGAGTATGATTTTTCATTCACTTATTGCATTTACATTCAAATTATATCATTAAATCAAGATAAATAACAATAATCTTTTCATTTCTATTTAATAGGCAATATCTGGTTTAGTTGGTCATGAAGTATCAATTCATTCAGTTCATTTAATGCCTCGTAATACAGATCAATTTGTTGTAGCTAGTCGTTCTAATACAGTTGCTATAATGAATATGCAAGGACAGGTAGATATTGTATCATTGTATAATTTCAAAAAATGTATTTTTCAAATCTCAACAAATGAATTTGAAGTAAATTCAATGTTACATTTGGCAATCTGGTCCAAACTTCTTCAAGGAACTTGTTATGTTTGTGACTGTAGATTAGACAGTAGCGAATTATCAATCGGACCAAAGACGTGTAAAACACATGAGAACAACCTAGAGTCATGATTGGTCCTGCTTTCCTGTCTAGCCCAGACAGTTGAGTTCAGAACACAAGTCTCAGTCTCTGAGATATGCATCGTTATATTACAAACATTCTGAGTTTATATACCAATCAAACCGACTACAACGTACCAATAAAATAGAAAATAACATTTGTACAAGAATTAACCAGATGTCGCTGTGAATGAGAGAGGCAGTGACTAATAGACAGGGAATAATTCAAGAATGGAAAATCGTATAATAACAGTTCATAGGTTAAAATAAAGCTTATAATAAGAGGAATATGAATATGCATAGTTTAGTTATTTAATCTGTTGTAACGCTAATCCATTGGGGTTTCCCCGCGTGGGTTCGAATCCCATCCCCGTCGCCAATTGTTGTAACGCGTGTGTGACTGCAGGTTTTAGATACGCAGCGTTATTTATCGATCGCGATCTGTGACAGTGACACGGAAAACACGTACGGACGACCTAGTGCCTGATTGGCCCTGCTTCGCTGTCCGTCCTAGCCCAGTTGAGTGAAGAACACAAGTCACAGCCTCGGAGTTATGAATCATTGTATTTCAAACATACTCTATTTATATACCAAGCAAACAAACCACATCGTACCATAAAATAGGAAACAACATTTGTACAATATTTAACAAGTCAAGTAAACGTCGACCAATAGGAAATGTACATTTAAAGACCAAGGACACCATTGGACTTAACATCATAATTATTGGTCTATTTTTCCGACTACCTAACATAATCATTATACAATAAAAATATACGTTTAGTATTGGGCCATAAAATGATCCCAAAGTTACCATTTATTATGTTTCTCGAGTCCCAATAGAACTAGATTGTTAAACGAAATGTTCGATTTACTTCATATTTATTTGCTGGGATTTTACAAATACAACATTCTTCCTCTTTAATATCTCATATGAACTCGGTGCCCCCAAATACTATGAAACTGTTCGATCAAATTTAGACGAAAGTTCTTATTATACAACTTTATTGAACGTAGAAACTACTTGCATACTATGTTCTGTGATGTAAATAATCATATTTTAATCATTGTATAGTGATTGTGGAGATTATTAAGTTTTTGATTGAGATCATGAACCGATCCCGCTCACGGGATTCGAACCCATTGGTCCAATAGGTTAAGCGTTCGCGCGCGAGACCGAAGGCCCTGGGTTCGAATCCAGCGAGCGGGACCGTGGATGCGCGCCGCTGAGGAGTCTAACAATAGGACGAAACGGCCGTCCGGTGCTTCCAGGTTTCCAACGGTAGTCTCACATCAATCGGTTCATGATCTCAATCAAAAAATTTGATCATTGTGCTGTATATGTGAACTCATCATATTTTTTCAGTTTGAACATATATAACTCAGTAAACAACGAGAGGTATGTGTATATATCTACTCAACTTTAAACTATACCTTTCGATGTAGGGGAGAAAAGTGTTCTTGATCTATTCATATGGAATTAGATAAAGTTTCTATTTGCTCAACCGAATAGTCGTCACATTAAAACTGTAACCATATAGCAATAATCGGTATTTGATCACATTCTAACTTAGCCTTAGAAAGTTGATTTCCTGAATCTCAAGCATCATGTATAGTCTAGTAGTGTAATTCGTATATTTATAATTACACTAACTGTAAAAATAGACAATCAGTAATGATGATAATCATCTAATGATACTCTATCAGGAGTCTAATCAACATATGGGATAGAAAGTAGATTGACCATTGGTAATCGGTTTCATATTTGTATTAAACAAATTGTCCAATATTATTCATTCAACTTTTTAAAAACATTGGAAATGTTCAGATCAAGTCACATTGCGGCATGCACTATTGATTTCGATTGATATAAGTAGTATGTAAACACCAATTGAAAGTGAAATACCTGGTGACGGAAGGTTAAGAAAATCGAAGAAAGGAGAATGATTGGTGTGGAATTGAAAGAACACTGAAATCTGAGACGTGTTTACTGCGCAGCAGTTCGTTCCGTCCTACTTTATGGCAGTAAAACATGGCCGGTAAGAGTAGAGGACATTCGTAGGTTACTAGTATTCGATCATTGCTCGTATATCCTGGGACCATCGAGTAAGTAACGCAGTTGTTAGGAAATGGGTACTAGGTAAGGATGGCAAATCAATTGATGAAGTAGTGAAACTTCATAAGTTGAGATGGCTGGGACATGTGTTACGTATGCCCAACCATCGACTGCCTCGACGTGAGATGTTTTCTGGTGTAGGATTAGGTTGGAAGAAAGCTATGGACGGTCAGACCAAAACATGGCACAAATCCATGAAGTCACCGACAAGTGGACTGAGTCATATTGGTAGGTGTAGACTACCTGGTTGTGGACCGCGAGATTATATCAACCGATGGTTAGAGACCCTGAATGACATGGCTCAAAATCGTTTGCAATGGCGCAGGTGCATCCATTCTTTGTGTTCTCCCAAATTCTAATCTTCTGAATTCTTCATATCCCGTTCTCTTTCCAAATTTACTTCACTGAGTTATACTCCTTGAATAACATCTTCAAACCCTAATGTTTCCGATTACTGCTTACACTCTTACTACCTCTACCACTGTGGGATTTGAATCGACAACTGCATCTCTGTGCTAATGTGGTATGGCAACTCGAATTGATGTACGTATGTACGAAGTTCCACGTAGTTACTGACTGACTGACATTTTGTAACTCACTATATGTTTCTCAGATTTTACTAAGATGTTCTGTGTGTGTTCTCGTTCACTACAATACTAGTTAGTGTTATGTATAATTACAAATATGTTACATAACATTATTGAAATAATTCGAGAGAAACATGGATATCCAAACAACCAATAACCTTTTCTTTTCATTTCTCTCCATATGATAATTAGATTTATGATTATTATCCTTTCATAAATGTCTTACTTGAATTTTTTCTTCTCGATCATTAGATTGTTCGAAGTTTTTCTAGTGGTAAACGAGAAGGTGGTGATTTTCTGGATTGTACACTTAGTGGTAGAGGTGAATGGATATATTGTGTAGCTGAAGATCATTTGTTATATTGTTTCAATGTTGCTGCTGGTGGTAAATTAGAGCGAACAATGCGAGTAAGTTTATATGATGATGCATTATATGTATAGAATTGGAAAAAATAGAGTGAAAAGGTTTGTACGAAGGGATATTGGAATTCACAGCCGAGAAGAAGATAAACAGTGAGTGGGTCTGTGCCATTGAAGATCATTCTGAATCATGTCATCTAAAGTCCCTAGCCATTGATGACTGTTATTGCTTGGACTCTAACCAGGTAGTATGTACCTGCCTACATGATGAAGTTTAATAGTCAATGACTTGCTTCATGAACTGACTATATATCTTAGTATGATTGTTCCTAGCTTCTTTCCAACCTACTCATACGCTTAATCTATGCCGATATTTTGTTAGACACCAACTAATCAGGCTTGATAAAACTACTTAATTGAATCAGTTGATCGTTGCCCTTGAACATTTCATTCCTTTTCACGTGTTCAATCATTGACACAGAAAGTTATGGAGTGGCATTTTGTATTTTGAGGTAGTGAAACGGATTCAGAACATGCTGAAATTGCTGTTTAAGTTAAACATTAGATTTCATTTTGTTCGAGTTCTCATCAAATAGGATTATATCATATAAGTATCTAAGTCGGCAAGCAAACTTCTTTATAGGAAATGAACTTCAGAATATTCAAATGAGGAAAATATTATCTCTAGAGAGTTACATCAACAACAAATTTGAATAAAAATCCAGATTCTATGTACTCTGGACAAATATCACTTTAGGTCGACTGTTTCTTGTAAGCGATGAATCTTACAATAGCTTCTAAGATGGAATCCTTCACAATATTAATGTACTTTTTTGGTAGTCCTCTAACTGACATATATATTGCCACAGAATTACCTGGTCAATTGAGTAAAATAAAAGCTTCAGATCGAAATATACCACTATAATCTAGGTTTGATAATTATGCCTATGTTCTAAAACCTAATGAAGGTTGAGTTTTTGGTCAGTACATCAGCCGTCCTATCTGAAACCAAACTGTATTCGGATATCATTATGTGCTTCAGTGTGAGTTATTTCTCTAGGATAAACTATATGCCCGATTAATTTGTCCCTGTCTTCACTCTTTTGACTTTTTCATCTGAGTTGATGTATTGGAGATGTTTTCCTTCAGAAGTAAAGCTCATCAGACTGCGTGCTCTCACTGAGATAAAACATAATTAGAGTTTAGAAAGGTACTCCAGTGGTAGTTACAGTACTCTGTCGATCCATTACAATGATAGCTGATGGCTATATGATATGTTTGTCTATCATACATCGATTTTACGACGTTGTACGGTCTTAGATTGTGATGCCTGTTGTCTAATTTAACACACCTTCCGAACATTAAAAGCATTATTATGTAGTTCGATATTCCTTCTCAGGAGGCCTTGGATGGTATTTTGTAACAAGAACAAACAAAATTTGGTGTTGCAGTTGGGGATTGTTCATGAACAGAGTGATCTCTTATGTTGTTAGAGGTATAAGGACATTTATCGCTTCGCGTTGGAAGGATACTTCTTCCTGGGGAACTAGAGAAGGTAAAGAGTCATAGTGGTCTTAATGGTGTCAGAGCGTGACAACAGAACCCCTAGTATAATCTCTAGAAGCCGGTTGGACCTAGAATTTTTCTAGTAAGTTTCAGATGAGTTAACTCTGTGCATTTTATGCCTTATAGTTGGAGACTGAAATCTTTAGGGTAATTTAGGGTGTAGCATTCCTACAGTTAACTTTTTCTTACCCATTCTATTGTCAAAAAGTAGCATCTTTACCGTTCCTGGTCGTCTGTAGGAAACAATTTATGAAGAATATTTTGAGCCATAGTGTTTACTTATTGTTAGTTTAAATGGACAATTAATATTATGTATTCTTCTTCTATAGGTTCATGAAAAGGAAGTGATAGGTTGTGCACATCACCCTCATCAAAACCTTATTGCTACTTATTCAGAAGATGGTTTAGTAAAACTGTGGAAACCTTGAGTAATGGAAGATGGCGCTATTATAATGCGAATTCCGAATGTATATTATTGTTGTTTCTTTGTATAAGATATATTGAATAAATACCTTTCTTAATTTGCTAAAACCATCGTTGTTTTAACCTCTGTGATACCTTGAAATCTTTGAACGTCTTACTATCAATTATGACCGTTGACGTGTTTCTATTTATATGCACTACTCACACCAATAACCTCAAAGGTGTTTACTACGCTATCATTTCAATAGTTTCGTATTATTTTATGGACTACTATTTTAAGATATGCTGAACACCCTAGTTTCGCAGTACACCAGCTTCCTTACTAGCTGTTTAGATATATTGGACCGCTGATATCAATATCATTCTACTGTCATTGCAGAAGTTGGTTTTCTATTCTTGCCTAGTATTCATAATTAAGTTTCAGGCATTATGTAATGAGGGAGTGTAGCTTGGATAAAATTACTCCTGAATTACTTCGCAAATTTGTTGTTTATAATGCATAAGCTTAGAAGCTGAATATAAAAGGTCAAATGCTGCTATCATTATGGAAGCCTCGCAGAATGAAGAGTATGGAGCTGTGGTTAGTGATTATGATCAGATATAAATGAGACTAGTCCATCATTGCGTAGTGCAGCTCGATTCCCGATTTTCTATATATTAAAATGTATGTAACGAACAGTGCACGGTTTCAACGTCCTAGCAAAAATGAATTACAGGTTGTCAGAACAGTGATGATTATCGGACGCTCTTTGAATAAGACGATAAAATGTATTAGGGTAATGAAAATACAATAACTCAGTAACAACGTGGAACTTCGTACATACGTACAGCAGTTCGAATTGCCATACCACAATAGTACAGAGATGCAGTTGTCGATTCAAATCCCACAGTGGTAGAGGTAGTAAGAGTGTAAGCAGTAATCGGAAACATTAGGCTTTGAAGATGTTATTCAAGGAGTATAACTCAGTGAAGTAAATTTGGAAAGAGGAAAAAAGGGACATGAAGAATTCAGAAGATTAGAATTTGGGAGAACACAAGAATTGGATGCACCTGTGTCATTGCAAACCATTTTGAGCCATGTCATTCAACGTCTCTAACCATTGGTTGATATAGTCTCGCGGTCCCCAACCAGGTAGTCTACAACTACCAATATGACTCAGTCCACTTGCCGGTGACTTCATGGATTTGTGCCATGTTTTGGTCTGACCGTCCATAGCTTTCTTCCAACCTAATCCTACACCAGAAAACATCTCACGTCGAGGCAGTCGATGGTTGTGCATACGTAACACGTGTCCCAGCCATCTCAACTGATGAAGTTTTACTACTTCATCAATGGATTTGCCATCCTTACCTAATACCTGTCTCCTAACAACTTCATTACTTACTCGGTGGTTCCAAGATATACGAGCAGTGATTTGAAGACACCTATGATGGAATACTAACTCCGCCTGGAGTCCCTCCGGGGGCTCCTGCCGGCCCCAAGCCCGGATAAAGGAGGAGGGTTGTGCATGGGGTTAGCGTCCCCATCCCGTAGAAAGCTAACTCGCTAAAAAACGCTAACCAGAAAAATTATTCAAACCTTTTAAACTCTGCCCTGGGAGTCAGAAGGTCTTCATTTAGAAGAATTATGACGCCTCATGATGAAAGCCGAATTCCTTCGGAAGTAACGAGGCCGATGCCCCTTCTGACAACCAGGGCGACCATTTATTTAGGTACGTGGAATGTTCGTACAATGTGGGACACCGGAAGAGCCTTCCAGATTGCTGCAGAAATGAGAAGATACAACCTAGAGGTACTTGGGATCAGTGAAACACATTGGACACAAGTTGGACAACAACGACTAACTACAGGAGAGCTCCTGTTATACTCCGGCCATGAAGCGCTCAAGCTGACTCCTCTATTTTTCATGTTCAGAGCCAGATGGGATGAGTTTCCGAGCACCTATCAGTGCGGTAGATGCTGTTGAGATCCAGTGTTTCTCCCTAACCTTGTGGTTTACCGTATTTGAAGACGTCACTGCCGTTTCCTCAGCTTTTCGGTGTCATTGCACGCTGCCTCGGGGTGGGCATCACTTACATGGCTGCCCAACTGTTTTTCCAGTTGTTCCTCAAGTATACTCTTGGCTTGACTATCATTAAGTAGGACTCTAAGGGGTTTCCTACGTCCAGTAAGACGTAGACAAATACGCGCTCGCACTAGAGCATGATCTGAGTCGAAGCATGTGCTCCGGAATGAGCGACAGCCTTCTATCGAGCCCCTCCATCGGTGGCTGACAGCGATGTGATCTATTTGGGTCCAACGTTGGGACGAATTCGGGGGTCGTCATGTCAAAATATGTTTTTCCTCGTGCTTAATGTTAGTGTTTCCAAGAAACAGGCGGTTATCTGAGCATAGCTGCAACAGACCGTCGCCATTATCTTTTCTTTGGCACGATATTCTAAAGTCCTAGCTAAGGAAGCCTGTTGTCTTTTTTGGCATAAAGTTCGGACGTTAAAAGTTCCTACGTGTACTTTAGAGCATGGTTTCAGGAGACCAGGAATAACGTTCCGCGTACTTGAGTCGTTTGCCCTAGCCGTGAGAGGTGATAAAGGAACGAGAGAAGGGTTAGTCGAGGAGATGAGGGAGTTAATAGGTGTGGGAAGGATTTGATCTTGACCAACTTGGTCTCGCATGCTGTTACGGGTATGACAGCTGATATCACTTCCCGGCTGCCCACACCGTGGAAGGGTATTTCCTGAGGAACCTGAAAAGGTCGGAATAGTGTTGGTCTTAACGACCTGGAAGCGTGACCTCAGAGCTCAAGGGACAACTGCTTGAGGTCGGTCGCTCACGGCCTTTTCGTGGGAGGTTTTTAACGTGTTAGCTCCGTTCTTCAAAGGGCCTTACCGCCGAAGACGGAAATCCGTGAGGTAAGGTGAGGTGTGACATTTTCACGGTCGACGTTTTCTAACCCCACCAGTCCTTGTGGTTGCTGGTTGTCCGAGGGAAACACCTTACTGCTGTCACACCCCTCTACAGCCAGCAGTACGACTTCGCCCTCAGACCTTGAGTTGCTGCTTTGAGTCTTACCGTTCTCCAATCGACCTGCCTGGCATGGTAGAACCTACAGGAACATATGTTCCAGCCAATATAGCTCGGTTGGGTCATCACGGTAGGCAAGCCCGACCACCGAGCCAGATGGATCTCGAGATGTTCTTGATTATGAGTGGAATATCCAGCCTCTTCCAGAGCGAGTCTCTTTGTGAAGAACGCGCTCGGTTGTCAGGCGTTTTCAACTATTTTGTTGAGGATATCACCTACTGCTTTGCCGAAGCATCTACCATCAAGACGATTGTGGAACTGCAATTCGGGTACGTTAACATAGACAGTTGAGCCGGTTTATTTTTAGCTGATTACTGACGTCAACAGTGTCAGAAGTCAACCTTAAAACCTTCGGATTTCTCTGAAGGGAATTTTTCATAAACTGTATTGATTGTATTCAACCAGGCATGAGTCAACGGTAAGTGTTATCTAAATCTAGAAAACTCTTACGTTATGTTGAAGAACTTGGTATGGGGTATTGCTTCACGGTGTTCTCATCTCCGATCGTTGCAATCCATGCTGGGCTCATTATGTGTCTAAGAAATCCTGAAGTTTGAAATCCAAAACATACTTAAATGAATGTCTGTTCCTTTTTCGCTTGGCCGCTTCAACACTGCCCTTACGTGTTGTACATCTGATTTTAAATCCGGACTGGTAATTATCAAATCATATATATATACCCCCGTACAAAATGAATATACTGAGGTAAGTTGTATATCAAACTCGAAGTGTTTGTCTTGCCTTCTTCAGTCCGAGTTACATGCTTACAAACCCAGACTGCCTAGGAAGTATTGTAGTAGCTGTCTTACGGTTGAGTTCCTCAGCTTCCGGCAAATTGTAAGATGTCCCGATTTGGTCAACCTCGTTGTTTCACAGAACTGTGTGTGGATGGGATGCCCATTGCCTATCAGATTGACGGATACTACTCACCTTTAGCCTGTAATGCAATTCAGGTCATATGACCTGTACCTTATTCACCATGAGTGATTGCTTCACTTTTTGTCATTTACTTGCATTTTGACAACAGTCTGTGTGAGATTATCGACACTCACAATCAGTTATGTTATGACTGCGTCCTTTGATGGCTCTTCTTTTTGTGTACGATATATCGTACGTGATCCAGTTGGGGACCTCTCTCCAGTATTCGATCTGCAATTCGCAGTGCGTCAAGTAAGGTTGCTTTCGGAACCAGTTTCCAAACAGCATTTAACGTAGCATGGAAAGCTTATATTCATCTTTGTATAAAAAACTCTTTTACACACATCGTTGTCACCATCCAATCTTGAAGTTGCATTAGAACTGTGATGTTCTATCATTCAACGTTTTTACTTGGAAAAGACTTTGGACTCTTTGACTGTGTGATGAAGATAGATTGTTTATTATTTCTCATATTATTAAGGTGTATGGTTTTGATTTTATGGAAGTCAAAATAAGTCACAGGCTTCTTTGGCGAATGAAGAAAGGAGAACAGAGCATAAGTCTCGGTGGATTACCCCCTCAGATTTAATATTGTAACCCATGATATAAAACTTTAATTCGGCAAACTACAACTCGAAGTCTCTTCGATTAAATTTTAGGAGTCGGAATTTCGTAGCTATAACAGTGATTATCTGTACCGGTGATAAATCACTTTTACCCTACAGGCTTTTGGTCTGGACTGAGTCCGACATGTGGTATATGTTATAACCTAGTGAAGATTACATTACGAGTAACGTCTGAGACCTATTTATAGACTAATATTATTTATATATGTACGCCGGAAGAGTAAACTTACAAGCAGAACGATTTAAATTAAATGTATTAACTAATGACCAATTTAAATGCTTATTATTCATTTCTGGTTTGAACTCTCACAGCGATGCTGATTTTCGCATAAGGTTATTATCCCGTATGGAATATGACGAGGAAATGACACTACAAACTG